TACCTCCCTCACTGCTCACCTCCGCGATAAGGTGCAAAAGGTCCTTGTGCAATCAGACACTCATTCAAACTCAGAAAAAAGTCCTGGCGCAGCAGCTGATTATGGTAGAGCTTCAGAAAGAATACAAGAATTTGCAGATCACTCCACGGTTGCTACTGCTGATGGTGATATCAATAGTGGCATTCATGAAATGAAATTGGCAGAAAACTTGGCCAGTCTTGTAGAGGAGTCTTCTCATATGGATGAGAGAAGACCCAAGAGCCGAATGGAGCTCAAGAGGTCTCTTGAATTGCGCATAAAGAAGAGGGTGAAGGAACAATACATCAATGGGAAGTTTCGAAACCTAATGGCAAAAGTCATTTCCAATCCAGAAACTCTTCAGGATGCTTATGATTGTATTAGACTCAACTCAAATATTAACATAGCATTCAATGATGATAATACCTCTTTTGATTCTATTGCTAAAGAGCTGTGTTGTGGGAGTTTTGATGTTAATGCCAATACCTTCTCTATCTCAAAAAAGGGTGCAAGGGAAGAAGTTTTGGTACTTCCCAATATAAATCTGAGGGTCATTCAGGAAGCAATCAGAATTGTTTTGGAAGTTGTTTACAAACCCGATTTCTCTAAGATTTCACATGGTTATCGAAGTGGGAGGGGGCATTCTACAGCTCTGAAGTACATCAGCAAGGAGATTTCTAATCCTGATTGGTGGTTTACATTGCTCATAAATAAAAAGCTTGATGCTTGTATACTTGGTAAACTTATAACCGTGATGGAGGATAAAGTAGAAGACCCTAGCCTCTATGCTATGATCCAAAGCATGTTTAATGCCAATGTGCTCAACGTGGAGTTTGGTGGTTTCCCAAAAGGTCATGGCCTTCCACAGGAGGGCGTATTGTCTCCTATATTAATGAATATTTATCTCAACCAATTTGACCATGAATTTTACAGATTGTCAATGAAATATGAAGCTCTCAGTCCAAGCTTACATTCTGATCAAAAGTCCCAGTCTAAGCTGCGCAGCTGGTTTAGGAGACACCTGAAAGGTAATGATCTTGGCTGTACCGGTGAAGAGAGTTTTAGCATAAGGGTCCATTCTTGTCGTTTCATGGATGAGATATTTTTTTCAGTGGCTGGTTCTAAGGATGCTGCTCTTGATTTCAAATCTGAGGTTCTAAATTACTTGCAGAAGTCTTTGCACTTGGATGTGGATGATCGAGCAGAGTTATTGTCATGTCAAATGCCGCATGGGGTCCGCTTTTTGGGCACTTTAGTTAGAAGAAATGTAAGAGAAAGTCCTGCTACAAGAGCAGTCCACAAGTTGAAGGAAAAAGTTGCTTTATTTGGTTTACAAAAAGAAGAGGCCTGGAATGCTGGGACGGTTAGTATAGGAAAGAAATGGTTGGGTCATGGTCTGAAGAAGGTAAAGGAGTCGGAGATTAAGCATTTAGCTGACTGTAGGTCTGTTTTGAGCCAAATTTCCCATTTCCGTAAATCTGGTATGGAAACTGATCATTGGTACAAGCACTTGCTGAAGATATGGATGGAAGATGTCAAAGCCAAAGCAGCAGAGAGTGAGGATGCTATCCTGTCCAAGTATGTTGCAGAGCCAGCTCTACCCGAAGAACTAAGAAACTCCTTTTATGAATTTCAGAGACAGGTGAAAACGTATGTTTCTTCTGAGACCAC